TGAAAATTAAGATTAAATTGAATTAAAATAAATTATAAAATAGGTTGCAAAATGATAAATTTGCCCCTTCCTAACAATTTGTGGAATTTCATAACAGTCCTTGTGTTGCCCTAAAACTTGCGTGATCTTGCATGGATGATTTGGGGTAGTTATGATGCCTGGTTGATCATAAGATAATTGTTTTTTTGTAGGGTTCAATATGGCAATCGATTTGATACCAACTTTGAGCCATGGATCGCATTTTTAGTGCACAATCATGTGACTTGAAATTTGAGTAGATCTTGAAACTTCAGATCGATAGTGTACTCGTTCCTTGATGTTTTTCAGTGATTTCTTCACTGAACTACACTGATCATGCCATTACAATAGTGGAGCAACAAACGTAGCTCGATTCCGTGCCCAAACGAAGATTTCGCAACTTTGGAATTTTGGCAAGAATTTGGAATTTCGACGACAAAATTTACAGTTGCTTCGTCGGCTTCGTGTGCAGAATCCGACCATTCATCATGTACAGGGTTTAGGCCAGTGATAGCCAAAGACCTTACGCCCATAATGAAATTGGTTTTGTGTTGATCAGGCTTGCGAGCGGCTTGATCCGGTCGCTTGAGCAAGACACAATGCTATTCAATTTCCTGCACTTTCTTCACGGATCAGAAACTTCTCTCTAACTTTTCATCTTGCTCAGTTGTCGTCACGCGACGTACCATATATCGAATCGCTCATCTTAACTAGACGAACATGCTCACCAAATTTGAGCATGATCCGACTTGAGACGGGTGAGACATGAGTGTCGAAAGTCACTGTTCGTGACTGCCTCTTCCATGACGTGGAGTTGCAGGGTGGCCTCACGGGAATAGCATGCGGTCTCTCCTGTTTCACTCTATTTCCTATAACTTCTACTTAGAGTGTTTGTTCAAGATGAAATTTGATCCCTAAGAGTTTTCAACTGTACCGGTTCCAATGGTAGTGGTCTCACAACAAATTGAGACACCGAAAATGTAGCTCTAGTTATAGGGTCTATTTCAGGGTGCTAGAGGCCGATCTTGCTGGAACTATTTCTCAGTTTGCACTGTCTTAGACATGTCAAAATGCAATGAAACTTGGCCGAAGACTTTTGAGAGACCTCATGAAGGTCCTAGCCAATTCTGAGGCTATTCTGAGACTGTCATAATTTCCACTGTTTGCTAGGCCTTTATTGAGCGCTGGCTCCATGTTGATGAAAAATACCTTCCAACAGCATTCCCCATCGAATGTTGTGCTTCGAGAGAATAGAGAAGTGCAATCATTGGGGAATTTTGAGGGATCTTGTCGAAGTCCTCACCCTCAAGGGACTATCAGACCTTGTTTTGAAGGCTAAATGCTATGAACCTTTTGTCATTATTGTTTGCTACTACAACAGGTTTGCTTTTGATGCTCAGAGTATTTCTGTAGGTCCCATCTAGCGAGGTCCAGTTGGGGGCTTTTGACCTATCCCGAAAGTCTGGTCCCATGTAGGCTAGGGGGTTTTGGAGAGACATACCCTGAAGCTTATGGCAGGTTAAACCCTAGCTTCGTCAGTTTCCTGCCTTCGTGATGGTTCTTAGCATTTTTAGAGGTATCTTTTAGTCATTGTCCTCACCCTCAAGGACTCTTGTTGTTGTTGAACTGGGGACATCTTAAGCGGCTCTCACTCCTTGATGAGCCATGTTGAAATGTGGGGGATCTTATGCGGCTCTCACCCCCAGATGAGCCATGTTCTTGAGAGATCTTATGTGGCTCTTTCTCCCTGATGAGTCATGTTCTTGGGAGATCTCATGCGGTTCTCACTCCCTAACGAGCCATCAGGTGCTGTGATTAGATGCTGGCTTTGGAGGATTTTAAGCAGACATCAGTAGCTAAGATCTTTACTGTTTGAAAACTGGAAATGGGCTGAAGCGGCAACCGTACGTCATCTTGTCTTGTTGGTCCAAGCAACCTTTTGCAGGTTTTCACTTGAACAGGGGAAGTGGCACAGTGAAGGCGGTTTTCGTCAACTCTTGTTAACTCTTGTTATTTCTGAGCTCTTTTATTCATGACCTGCAGTCATATCCACCCTTTTCATCCTTTTTTACTCATGTTTTCGTTTCGGGGTTTTCACCGGGCCTAGATTTTTTTCCACGGTACTCTCTTACTCATGGTTTCATGACCATGCCCATCTGTTATTATTACTCATGACGTTCCCTTGTCTAGGTGAGCATGGGTAAGACTCACTTGGGGAAAGGATGGTAATGATGGCGACGATGGTACTCGCACACGAATGGGTCGGTTGGGGAAGATGTGCTCGAAGATGCATGAAAAAGGTGTGTGCGTGTATGTGGGGGTATCTTTAACGTCGTGCCTCCTGGACTTGGGCAAAGTAGTTTAACGTCATGCGGCCAGGAAGAGCACTATGGTTTAAGTTCATATAGCTTGGACCGTGGTTATGCAGTTTAAAGTCATGCAACTAGAACCATGCAGTTTAAGGAACGAGACCCCTGCTATAGTTTAAGGTCATAGAGTTTGGACCATGGATGTGCAGTTTAAGGTCATATAGCACGGACCATAACTGTGCAGTTTAAGGTCATGCAGCATGTAGGTAAAGCCACATGGGGGACAAGTTGTGGATAGCCATCTGACTCCTAGGGATAAAGGTGGTTAAGGCTATACATAAGAAGAGAGGTTTTAGATGGAGATGGCAGCACTGGAGGAGTGGCAGACATAAGAGATTTCACTGGGGGTTAGGAGGGCTAGTGTGACTCCATGGGGATAATTAGCAATGGGGTGTACGCTAAGCATGACAGACCAGAGCACAGATGAACCTCATTAAGGGTTAAAGGCATAAGGATGGCTCTAACTCCCTAGGGATAGCCGGTCGCAGTAGGATGTGACCCTTATTGAGATGTTGGTGCGGAGCCATTAGGGGTTAAGGGGGTAGGTTTGACCCTTGCGTGCATCTATCTCCACTGGGGATGTTGCTAAGACACCCTTTTGACGAAGGAGTGGTCTATCTCTTGGCTAGAGATGTGCGCATGGGCCATTTGTCATGCCGTGCGCTACAGTTTTTAGGGTCTTGTAGATTGGACTGTGGCTATGCAGTTTAGTCGTGCAGTTAGGACTATGCAGTTTAAAGTCGTGCAACTAGACCTCCGCTACAGTTTAAGGTCATGTAGTTTGGACCGTCATGCTAATCCTTTTAACGTTATTTGACCCAGATGTGTGCTATGGTTTAAGGTCACTCAGCTCGACTATAGTCATACAGTTTTGAGTCATGAATCAAAGACTATGCAGTTTAAGTCGTGCAATTAGACCACCGCTATAATTTATGGTCACATAGTTTGCTCCATGCAGTTAAGGTCGTGCAACTAGACCTTCGCTACAGTTTAGAGCCATGAAACGAGGACTATGCAGTTTAAGGTTGTGCAACTAGAACACCACTATAGTTTAAGGTCATATAGTTTGGACCTTGCAGTTTAAGGTCGTGCAACTAGACCTCGGTTGTACAGTTTAAGGTCATGCAGGATGGATTGTGGCGTGGTGAGGGAATGTGACTCCATGGGGAGTAGAGTCATCACCAGAGGCTGGACTTCCTGAGGAGTGAGGCTGTGGTGCAAGGGATGAACTTCCTGAGAGTACAGGATGATGGTCCTGCTGAGAGTGCCATGGCATGTGCATGGCACTAAGTGTCGGATGGCACACACAGCATTAACCCCCTTGGTGAAGCGCGAGACGATAGCTCCCAATGAAACGTGCGGCGATGACCTCTTAGCGAGGCGTGCAGCGATGACCCCTTGACGAGGCGTGCAGCGATGACCCATTGACTAGGCGACAGAGGCAACGAGGGCCTCTAGAATTTTGACAGTCGTCATTCCTACCGAGGAAAGGGAAACCCCGATAGAGGTCGTGATAATAGAAGAGGACGAACCCCCAAGTGCTGAAGAGGGGCCATCCGAGCAGCAGGAGACGATTGCCTCGAGCAATAGATCTGTGGGGGCTGGAGAAGCAAGACGCTCTGAGGGATCAAGCTTGTCGGGCCCTGAGGTGGCACTCATGACTATAGAGGAGGCAGGCGCCGTGGGAGAGCCTGTTGATGAAATGATCGTCATGACAGACTAGGGCGAAGAAGGAGAGGGAGAGGGTGTCGAACCTCCCGAGGTGGAGATGGCTCTGGAGGACAGGACACAGGGAGAGGTCGCTGCCTTGGGAGAGGAGACTACCGAGATGCAACCCGAGACTGAGGTGGTGGCTCCAAGTGATGAGGTCATCCCTGCCCCAGCTGCGGTTGCAATGCTTATAGAGGATGAGGCGACGGTGCCTGGACATGAAAGGATCAAGCCCAACGTGGTCATGTCCAAAGGCCAGAGCGAGAAAGATGTTGCCGAGGTACCAGGGCAGCCTGAGGTTGCTCCTGAGGAACCTGAGACCTTGGCTGTAGTTGGGGGTCCTCTTGCTATGGTTGCTCCTGCTGTATTGCCCAGACCTTCTCTCATTTCCCTATCTAAAAATTGATATAGTTTCTCTCTTTAAAGTTTTAAGATATTCTCTCTTTAATACTTAAGTTTTGAGATAGCTTCTCTCTAAAAAAAATTTAGTTCCTCTCTAAAATTTAATGTAGTTTCTCTCTTTAAATTTTTAAGATACTTTTTCTCTCTAAAATTTAAGATTTGAAATAGTTTCTATCTCTAAAATTTTAATATGGTCACTCTAAAACTTTAAGTTTGAGATAGTTTCTCTCTCTAAAATTTTAATATGGTCTCTCTAAAACTTTAAATTTAAGATAGTTTTTCTCTCTAAAAATTTCTAAAAACTTGATATAGTTTCTCTCTATAAAAATTCATACATTTTCTCTTTCTAAAAAATTTTGTATACTTGCTCTCTCTAAAATTTGATATAGTTTCCCTCTCTAAAATTTTAATACGTTTTCTCTCTCTAAAATTTGATATAGCTTTCCTCTCTAAAATTTTGATACATTTTTTTTCTTCAACAACAAAATGGTCATTTCCTTGAAATGTCAATTCCACAAATTTTGGTGGAATTGAGATTTCTAAAATTTATGCTTAAAATGAGTATTCCGAATCCCATGGAAATCTCAATTCCAACATAAATGCCAATTCTAAACGAACCAAACACTATTGGCCTAAATTTTCCAAGAAAAGTAACTCCTACAAATCTGAATCCAAGGAACCAAACGAGCCCTAATGTCAAATTTCTTCCTATAATAGAATCATTTCGGATTTTAAGTAATTATTTCAAGTTCTTATGTAATTTACTCATTTAAAAAAAAAAGAGTTAAAGCGGTTTCTTTCGAACATGATTTTTTGTTTTTTTAGTTGCTTGATTGGCAAGTGTGTTAGGTCCAATCAAGGTGATCAGTTTGAAAAATCAAGTGATTGTCATGTATTCTGCTTTGTATATGAAGCAAGCAAAAAAACAGGAAGTCAATCTGGTCTGGCTCTTGGGTAGAGTGAGGGAGGGCATGGCATCAAGAGAGATGAAGGATAGGGTGGTGGTTCTTTACCCATCTCCGGCCATCCGCCACCTTCTGTCCATGGTGGAGCTGGCGAAGCTCATTCTTCATCACTCCCCCAAGCTCTACATCACCATTCTCAATGTCAATCCTCCGTTTGATGTAGGCAATACTGCCCCTTACATCGGTCGAATCTCCTCTGAATTCCCGGCCATCGCTTTCCTCGAGCTCGAGCCCCCTGAGTTTTCTGTCGATGATTCTGCCCACCTAGAGACTCTCATCTTCGAATACATCCATCTCGCTAATAATCCTAGGGTCTCTGAAGCCCTCAAGTCCATAACTGAGCACTCTACTGTCGTGGCTTTCGTCATGGACCTTTTCTGTGCCACCGCTCTCGACAGAGCCAAAGACATGCACATCCCCACCTACCTCTTTTTCACATCCAGTGCTGCCGATCTCGTCGTCTTCCTCTACCTTCCCATCCTCCACTTCCAAATTCCCATCAGATTCCGTGACCAGAAGGAGCTCCTTCAAGTCCCAGGCCTCTCCCCTGTCAAGAATGCCTGTGACCTTGCTCGACCGCCACGATAAAGCGTATGACTGGTTCATCAAATCCTGTCGTCAATCAACTCTAATGCAAGGAATACTGGTAAATTATTTTGATGCACTAGAGCCACCTCGTGTCCTTGAGGCCCTTGCCTCCGGTGAGTGCACACCTGATGTTCCCACCCCACCAGTCTACTGTCTTGGTCCTCTCCTCCTCACTCCGGCTGGTGGAAATAGATACTCCAGCTGCTGTATGGAGTCGCTGGATGCACAGCCAGCCGGCAGTGTGGTGTACTTATGCTTTGGGAGCCAAGGGACCTTCTCAACTGCTCAAATAAAGGAGATTGCGACCGGGCTCGAAAACAGCAGGCAGAGGTTCCTTTGGGTAATACACAGTACTCAGCACATGCTAGAACCAGACATTAATGGGCTCTTACCAGAGGGGTTTTCGGGGCGGACCTCCTGGTTGGGGATGGTGGTGAAGTCATGGGCGCCTCAGGTGGCAGTGCTAAACCACGGGGCCGTGGGGCGGTTTGTCACGCACCGCAGGTGGAACTCCATGCTGGAGAGTGTGTGCGCGGGGGGCATGGCCCCTCTATGCAGAGCAACATTTGAACGCGCTGTTTTTGGTGGAAGAGATGGGACTGGCAATGGTGATGGTGGTAGGGGAAGATGGCTTTGTCGATGTAGGTGCAGTGGCTCCAAGCGTGAAGGGGGTGATGGAATCAGAAGAGGGGAAGATGTTAAAGGGACAAGATGAAGGCCCTCAAGCAGAGCGCTGCCTCAGCTCTGAGTGAGGGCGGTACATCGCGCCTCAGTTTCGAAACCGTGGTCACAGCATGGCTCGGAGCAGGAGCAGTGCAGCCTTGAATATCGACTGCAATGATAAAGTGAACTCCTCTTCTTCATCGCTCATCCAATCACCATTATATTATCTGGTTGATTTATGGCTTTGGAAGCTTAAGAGTACCGTGGCTTATCCGCTTAATTTAGAGAAGGGGAAGTATACAATGAGACCATTTACTTTTTATATAAAGTGGTTACAATTAATCTTCATCATTGGATGTGAAACTGGATGGCTGCATTTATTTCTTTGTCCAAATTTAAAAAAGGAATTTGTTTGAATTTTATGATGCACACCATGCTATCAGATTTCACTTATAAGTAATTGTTACCTCTTTGTACCAAAGGTAAATGGTATGTCACAACGTTATTCTATTGAAGCATGATCCACATCAAATTTTCAATAAAAGAAAGTGTTTTGTGTTGGAGAACCCTCCAATTAATCATCACTACCTTAAGATATATGGATGTGAAGAAATAAAAAATTTCAAATCCAAAATATAGGGCATATTGTAACAAGTTAAATTTAGTGCATCTTGTAACAAGTTAATTGGACCATCTATTTTCAAGATTTTCTAAGTGTTTGATCGGCTCAATCTCTACCATTTTCGAAATTTTATATTTTATAACTAGGTACGGAAATAGATTTTCAAGTCATCATAAAGTTTCAAACACCAGGATAACATCTAGAAACAAATTTTAGAGTTGCACCTTACTTAAAGAGGCAACCTAATACAAACCCCAAATAGCAAAAGATTCATCTTATTTAATTAGGTGTATAGCATACTCCCATGCGAGCATATTGTGCATTAATTCCCTTGGTTAAAAGAGATATTTGGGACATATTTATAATTTGAGGTTTTGGGATATAGCAAATAATAACTAGATGACTATTTTCAAAGAAAAAAATAGATTTCAAGTTCTTTAACTGATCAACACCTAGATCTTGTCCTTCAAAAATTGGATGTTCCTTGTTCATACTCACGATGTTATATTTTTTAAAGCATATAGAACATGTGATTTAATAATATTTGTTTTTTGGAATGATTTATGTGTGGACCCAAATATTTTACTTAAAATACAAAATGCTCCGTTTATAAGCACAAATTACAAGGTGGGTCAACCTACCTTTTTTTTTTTTTTTCAAAATTATCCCTCGATCTAAAGATGTCATCCTTAGACCACATTTTAACTTCTGTTGTTTAAAATTTTTTTCGTTAGTAACCCCAAGCTTTAGGGGTAGTGCCCAGGTGGTCCAAGGTTAGAATCCTCACACCGGTGCTAAGCACACTTCTAAAAAGCCATGTTTATAGCATTTGTATCGCCCCAAAAATTACACATACCCTCTTATCATCCTAATAGTCAGTTTTCAAAAAATAATAATTGAATTTGCATCATAGATATGGTTAAAATGAGCACCTTCTAACAATGAATTTAGACCATCCATTTGGTCAATTTCAAGATCTAGGCCCTTACAAACTCAAAACCTTTTTTTTTCCTTTTTCAATATTATTCATCTAATGATAATAACTATCTAAAAATTTTGAAAAGAGAAAAATCATTCTAAGGCCTAGATCTAAGCACCTTAAAAAAATGGATGACTTATGTTGATTGGACTAAAATAACACTTTCTAGGGTGCATTTTCCAATTAGGTTTTTTTGTTTGTGATTGCTCAATGGAATTAAAAGAGTGTACATTTAAATTTTGGGATCAAACAAATGGCACTAACATAGTTTTTTAAAGTTGTTATATTATATTACTATACAACCTTTGCATGAAATCATTCTCCATAAAATAATTATAATATCTGAAATATAGTCAGAATACTTCACCAGTACACGTCAAGTAAAATGATAAGAGTATTTAAAATATTCCATGTATCCAAGGATTGAAAACTCGACGAGTCGAACTGGACTCACCTGGTTCGACTCGGGAATCGGCAGACCCCGTGCGATTCCACTACAATACCAGGAATCGCCGTGTTTAGAGAGAACCAGGCAATTCCCAATAGTGAATCGCCAAGTCACTGTTGAGACTCGTCCAAGAACACAGGCTGTACAGTGTTCTTCATGATTTTCATGGTTTTTTGTCATTTTCTTATTAATTTTCATCTTTTTCAGCTTTATAATTGAATCTTGTAGGCTTTATTTTAAATTTTTCAACCATTTCAATCAATAAAAGGTAATAAAAATCGCCGATTTTGATAAAAAAAAATTGGATCTGTGAAGAACCCTAAAAACGTTTTAGGGTTCCGCTATTTCTTTGATTTCAAGCAAAAGAGGGCATCATTTTTTGTAAAATCTGAGAGTTACTAATCGTAAGAGTGTTGTTCATAAGTGTTTGCTCATAATTTGTGAGTATTTTGGACGAATACATATCAAATTTGAATTTGAAGCCACGGGTGCATGAAAAACAGGTAAGAACTGCATTTTTTTTTTTTTCCGCCATTCTATCAAATTCACTCAATATTTTGCAAATAATATGTTAAATTTATGGGCTTTTGATTCGTTATAGTATTGTTTATCATCACATGTATTCAATTTGATTTTATTTATTCAATTTGAGTTTGATTTTTGAGAAAAAAAGACTGATGTCTGTAAAGAAAAAATGAACTGTCGTTTTTTTTTTTTTTTTCCGCCATTCTATCAATTTCACTCAATATTTGCAAATAATGTGTTAACTTTATAGGGTTTTGATTTGTTATAGTGCTTTTTATCATCACATGTATTTAATTTTATTTTAGTTATTCAATTTGAGCTTGATTTTTTAGAAAAAAAGACTGATGTCTGTGAAGAAAAAATGGACTACGGTTTTTTTTTTTTTTCCACCATTCAATCAATTTTACTTAATATTTTTCAAATAATGTGTTAAATTTATAGGGTTTTGATTTGTTATAGTGTTGTTTATCATCACATGTATTCATTTTGATCTGATTTATTCAATTTGAGCTTGATTTTTGAGATTGAATGACTGATATCTATGAAAAACTGCGTGTTTTTTTTTTTTCCTCAATTCAATCGATTTTATTTAATATTTTGATAATAATGTGTTAATATTATAGGGCTTTGATTCCTTCTAGTGTTTTTTATCAAAACATGTATTCAATTTGATGTAATTTATTCGATTTGAGGCGGAGTTTTTAGTTGGAATGACTGATGTTAGGTGCGTCTGTGAAGAACTGCGTTTTTTTTTTTTTAATTCATGATCAAGTTTTTGAAAAATCGTGATTTTCCAAAAAATTGTGACCAGTTTTTTATTATCATGAGGAATTAAACAATATTTTAAATTTTTATTGTTAAATTTTTAATTCAAAAAATTGCATGTTGATTGATTAGTTATGCAAAAAAATACGTTATTATATTTTTAATGCAAAACTGTATTTTTTCATGTATTTTTAATGCAAAAAAATACATTAACAAATACATGTTGTTAAACTGTATTATATTTTTAATGCAATTTTACATTAAATATGTATTTTTATTTTTTTCAATTTTTAATCCAAAAAATACATGTTATTAAACTGTATTATCATGAATATTATTGTAAAAAAATCGTGGCATGTATGATAATTATCTTATCTGGCATGTATGATAATTATATTATCTTGCATTTTTTAATTTTATTATTAAATTTTTAATGCAAAAAATGTATGTTCCTGATAATTGAGTTGTAGCCATGTTTGAAGATTGCATTTTTTATTATATTATCTTGCATATTTGTAATTGAGATGTACGAGATTTCAATTGAGTTGGGATTGTGTCCACTACATCATTGTAAATTTTATTTGTGGCATTGTGAATGACTATATCATTGTAAATGTTTTTGTGTCAAATATACGTGTAGTGGCATTATGGATGACTATATTATTGTAATTTTTTTCTTGATTCTAAGTGTGACATATACAGACTTTTTTTTTTTTTTTCTCAGTAGGAATTAATTCATGTTTGTTGAAATGAAGATTTGCGAGAAGTCCGTATGTATTGGCATTGTGAATTACTATACCATTGCAAATATATTTTTTATTGATACTATATTAATGTAATGTAAATTTTTTGTTCTATATGTAATGGCTGATATAGGCTATTTTTATCTATAATGTTGCATAAATAAATTATTTTTCCCAGTAGAAACTAAAATATTTTTGTCAATAAAAATATTTTGCATTAACAACAAATATAACTTCATGAACTACCCCTACATATTATCACTACACATGGTGATTATTTTTCATGTTGAACTGTCAGGTTAATCAGGCCTGCCATAACCCTCTTTGCGACAGATTATTTGGCTGTGGACTCCATTCGGGAATCTGAAGGTGCAATAAAGAGATTGTTTACCAGTGAAAAGTAGTTAAATGACCGCCTCTCGAAGTCCAATATCGGGCTAAAAGTGAACGACATAGTCTCAAATAGGAGGTTCTGGTCTAGATATTCCAGTATCATAGAGGTCGTGCCCTATTGGTCACAGTGTTAAGAATGGTGGATGATGACAAGAATATTACCATGGGCATCCTTTATGAACGTATCAAGAGGGACAAATCAGCTATGGGGGAGAAGTGTAGTTTTGCTAGTAAAGTGATCGAGATTATAGAAAAAAGATGGAACACCAAATTTGGACGTCCAATTTATTATGCAGGTAAATATATATTTATATCATTAGAATGTTTCATTCTAAATTATTTTTTTATGAAATTTTAAATGACATTTCTCTATCTATATATTTTTTAGGTTACTACTTCTACTCAAAATTTTTCTATTTGATACCTGAACATCCTCACAAGATTATAGAAGGAGTCAGATACATTATTGCAAGGTTAGAGAGAAGTAATCGAAACCAAAAAGCAGCAATACAAGACGTATTATTTAATATTTGGGTAAGAACTTGATTGAGTTGTTATATTTGTGATGAATAATACACTAAAACGAAATATTTTGTTTTAGCTTGCTATGTATCGGGATGCTATAGGATCCTTCGGAACTAGACTTGCCAGGAATTCTCGAACTAAGATGAATCCAGGTTATCCCCTAACTAATATTTTGTTCATTCATATACTTAATCTTATGAATTATTCTTGCCCTTACAATGCTTTTTGCATTTTAATCCAGCTAAATGGTGGGAGATATATGGTAGTGATGCACCTCACCTAAAGAGAATAGCAATCA